ACAGGAGCAAAGGAAGCAAAGTTTCCTTATTTTAGCAAAGGAAAACCAGTCTCCTCTTGGCTTATATCGAAATCCTCCGACATTCTTCTTTACAAATCCTCGTTTTGTACTTCTAATAAGTGACCGTTGTTTTGTTTTGATCTCTCCCCTGCGTTTCTGCATGCGTCACTTCTGTGCGCAAAGCTGACCTCATACGTCATCCGCCCGGAACTGCTTCCGTGTACAACTGTTGGCGCAAGCTACATTAAAGTGATTATTACATTTTGAATATGGATATTTTTCTTACAAAAACACATTGTCGTGCCGTGTGAGACACTTTTTTTATGGATGGGTGCTTTTTATTTAACTTCTTTTGGACGGATGCATGCAACACCTGCTGAGTGGCATTAAACAGCTTGAAAGATCAAAGACTATTTTTTATATAACTCCGACTGGATTCGTCTGAAAGAAGAAAGTCATATACACCTAGGATGACTTGAGGGTGAGTAATTTGTGGGCTAATTTTCATTTTTGGGTGAACTAACCCTTTAACTCTGGTTTAAATCACAACTTGCTTCATAAAAACTTGTGTACTTTATTTTCTAAGTCATTTTGGGGAAAATTATTTGCCAAATGATTACCTAGCAATTCAGTAGTATAATCTTATGAAATAGTCTTACATGCAAATAGTTCACAGGAATTCTGACAATATGGAATCAGACCCCCACCTACCACCTGACATAAATAGGTAATGTTTATCAGATTCATTAGCTACTGTACCATGTGCACAGATGAGACCACATCTAACCCATGAGACATTTGGGGGTGGGGTGAGTACAGCTGGACATTTACACACAGTAACTGAAAAACAAGCAACAAAAGCGGTGTAAACAGCACTCTTGCTGCACCACATAATCATCTTGTTTGTCAATCACCCAATGTTTCTGCCTGAGACTATACACTATGTTGAGTAATATGCCAGGCTAGATCCAGGCTACACACGTTAATGTGTTTTTAACAAGTTGTAAAGGAGATGGGGCCAGTGGAGACCCTGATGTAGGCCTATAAATAAGCTGAGCAAAAGATGAGGATTTGGCAAAGAAAAGAAGCGCCAATTACCATCCATAAAAAACTGCACAGCTTCACAAGCCAAGCACAGTCATTACAGTCCAAAACTTAGGAACAAATATGATCAGACAATAATTTCTCTAGTGCTGATGGCTAAAGAGCACTTTGGTCATCATGTCTCCATGAAAGCTCATCAAATTAATTAACATCTTCACCCAAAGGGATTTCTTCATTAACTACTGTTCTATTTAATTAGCTGTGCAACGTAACACAAGTGAAAGGGGACAAAGGACATGGCAGGGCAGGTAAAGGAAAAACAAAACACATCACACCCTTTTTTGAGAATGTCAGATCTTTGTTTTACATGAGACATATGGCTATAAATGTCTGAAATTAAGACTATGAGGACAGAAAACACTCCAATGCTTTGACAGAGACACCTTCATGTGTGCAAAAAGCATTCAAGTCCATTGTACAGCGTTGTTATTGTTAATTTAAACTAAAACTATTAAAATCTTTTTGTTAATTGAAACACAGGTGAAAAAGTAAAACAAATTTTAGAAAAAAAAATTAGAAATGTTGTCTTGGCAATTAACTGAAATAAAATAAGATTAGTTTGAAGTACTAAAATTACTAAAGCAAAAATAAAAATAAATAAAAGCTAAATAAAGTAAAAAAAAAA